GTTACTAGCCGGTCCTAAGCCCGGGTAAAGAGGGAAGGTTGGGCATAGGGCTAGCAATCCTACCCCGTAAAACAAATCTAACCGCTAAAGAAACTTCAAAGCACAAACAAAATATAAAAAATGAAAACAAAATTATTCCTCGCTGGAATCGGAGAGGCGAAATGACGCCAGTTGGTGAAAGCCTGACTTCGGGAAGCCAATTGGCCGATGTGTCTTCTCTTCTCTCGATGGAAGCGAAAGTAAACGTAGGGACATGGAATGTCCGTACGATGTTTGAACCCAGTAAGGCAGCCCAGATTGCAAAAGAGATGAGAAGGTATCACATCGAAGTGCTTGGGATTTGCGAAAGCAGATGGAATGGGAGTGGAGTCTCCAAACTGTCAACTGGAGAATCAATAATCTACTCCGGTCACCCAGACGACAACCACGAGCACATTGAGTTATGTAGTGGCTATCATGATGTCCCCAAGAGCATCGAAGGCTCTCATGCAGTGGGAACCAATCTCCTCCAGGATCTTGACAGCAAGATGGATTCAACTCAAAAGGAAGGAAGGTCACAATCATACAATGCTATGCACCTACAAATAATGCAGAGCAAAAGAAAAAGGAGGAATTCTACAGACAACTTCAATCAACACTGGACAAGACGTCAGTTGGCGATATCAAAATTCTAATGAGTGACATGAATGCCAAACTGGGAGGGGACAACACAGGAAGAGAACTAACCATGGGTCGAGAGGCGCTAGGTGTAATGAGCAGTGAGAATGGATAATTGTTTGCAGAATTCTGTGCCTTCAACGATTTGGTGATTGGAGGCAGTGTGTTCAGGCACAAGGATATCCACAAAGCTAGCGACATGGATTTCACCAGATGGACACACTAAAAATCAAATCGACTTTATCTGAATCTCAAGAAAATGGAGACGCAGTCTACTTAACACAAGGTCAAGAAGAGGAGCAGATGTAGGTTCAGACCACTATCTAGTACAAGGAACCTTCCAAATCAAGCTAAAAGCCTTCAAGGAAGCTGGTGATAGACCTCAATTCAAGTACAACACTCGGAAACTGAAGGATGAAACTACAAAGGAGATCTTCAAGGCAGCCATCAAGACAAAATGGGAGATATCGAGGAACATCCCTGAAGAAACCTGTGTGGAAGAACACTGGAAATCTTTGAAAGCTATGTGGAAAGAAACCTGCACAACAGTATTAGGAAGGAAGAAGAAAGAAGACAAGGAGTGGATCTCGACGGATACCTGGAAGCTGATAGAGGAGAGGAGGATGGTGAAACAGAAGATAAACCAGTGCAAGGACGCTCAACGACAAGAGGAACTGAGCACAATGTATAAAACACTGGACAAAGAAGTAAAGAAGAGTGCACGGAAAGACAAAAGACACTTCTACGAAACACTAGCAAGTGAAGCAGAACAGGCTATTGGTAGGAGAGACAGAGACCTGACAACATTGTATCAAATAACCAGGTTGCTATCAGGGAAGAGATCAACACAGATGAAACCAATAAAAGATGAAGAAGGAAATTTAATTACGAAAGAAGAGAAACAAAGGAAACAATAGGCCGACCACTTCAAGAAGCTTTTGAATCGACCACCACCTGCAGCCGCTGAACTACAAGTGAACATAAATCCTCCAACGAAAATAGTAGTCCTAAACGCCATAAAGCTACTGAAATGAGGGAAAGCAGCAGGACCAGACGGGATACCGCCAGAAGCACTGAGAACAGACGCAGAGACAACAGCACACATGCTCACACCACTATTGCAGAAGGTGTGGAAGGAAGAGAAGGTACCGGACGATTGGAAGAAGGGTTACCTTGTCAAACTGCCAAAGAAGGGAGACCTCAGTGTTTGCAAGAACTGGCGCGGAATCACTCTCCTATCCACCCCAAGTAAAATATTAAGCCGCATCATCTTGGAGAGGCTAAAGGATGCACTGGATTCAAAACTACGACCGGAACAGGTTGGCTGGCTGGATTCAGGAAGTACAAATCATGTGTTGACCGAATTGCAACGCTACACATCGTCATAGAACAGAGTATAGAATGGCAGTCAACTCTACACCTCAACTTTATCGACTTTGAGAAGGCCTTTGACAGCGTCGAACGAGAGGTAATTTGGAAACTGCTTCAATACTACGGGGTATCGCAAACCTTTATCCGCCTCATTCAACAACTATATGAAGATGCCACATGCCAGCCAAGTAATTCACAATGGGAAGCTCAGTGATGCTTTTGAAGTGAAGACAGGAGTAAGATAAGGCTGACGCCTACTATCCCCCATGATATTCCTGATTGTGGTCTGGACTGGATCATGCAGCAAACAGTGGGGAGCGAAAAGAGGGGGATACACTGGACTGCGGAAAAGAACCTAGAAGACTTGGATTTCGCCAATGACTTGTGCCTGATGTCACATAAACTTGAAGATCTGCAGGCAAAAACTAACAAGTTGATAGAAGAGGCAGCGAAGACGGGACTTCAGGTGAATATAGAGAAGACAGAAGTGATGAAGATACCGCACCACCACCATCAACAACAACAACAAACTCCAATCACCGTCAACGGGAGAAACTTAAAGGAAGTAACCTCCTTCACTTATCTAGGAAGCACTGTTTCAACTACAGGCGGCACAGATGAGGATGTCAAAACCAGTCAGAATCGGAAAAGCAAGACAGGCGTTCATTAGCCTGAAACCAGTGTGGAGATCTTCTGCACTCAGCATGTGGAACAAGATACGGATTTTCAACACCAACATCAAGTCAGTGCTTCTGTATGGCTCAGAGACTTGGCACGTCACGAAAGGTATTTCCAATAAACTACAGACATTCATCAACAACTGCTTACGCTCACTACTGAAGATCAGATGGCCAGAATAATAAGAATAAGCAACAAGGAGCTCTGGGAACGAACCAACCAAGCACCTATCAGTCAACAAATATGCACTGGAAGGAAGTGGAGATGGATTGGGCATGCACTGAGTAGGCCGACTGGGACATCGCGCGTCAGGCCCTCGAGTGGAATCCCCATGGGAAGCGACGAGTTGGACGTCCGAGGGTGACATGGAGGAGGTCGTGCGAGGAAGAAATGAGAGCTTCTGGGCTGTCGTGGAACCAGGTTCAAAAGATCTCAGAGAACAGAGGTCACTGGAGACGTGCTACTGAAGCCCTATGTTCCACTAGGAACCCAAGGGACTAGTAATAATAATAATAATAAGTTGGATTCCGTTCCTTCCACTGAATTACTACTTTTAAAGGTTTTTCTTCGACATGTCTGTAAAATTACGCATATTTATTTTACCATGATATTTGATGAAATATCTCGTAGAATAGAATAGAATGTACCAGTGATTTTCAGTCAAATAAATTTAAAGATTGGAGTTCACGATTTCAAAGTTAGAGACTCCACATCTCTTATGATACCCTGTGACTTTCGATCTTAAAGGAAGTTATTGTGTTGACTAAATTCACTATAACTAACTGCCAAAATCAACTTAGAAGCTCGCACACAGGTGCATCGGTTCAAGTTACCACACAACACAGTAGTGCACAAAGAACAGATGGGTAGAAAAAGGGTGGTATCAATGTAGACAGAGTTGAATGAGAGGAAAATGAATCTGAAAATGAAGGTTAGTGCAAATGTTCAAACTTCAGGAGGATGTCAAGGAGTGAATACATGTGAGCCATTGTGACAGATTTTCATTCAGCCAGTATCACCAAGACTCTTCAACCACTGATTTCTGTGATCTCGATGACCCCAACCAGGTAGTCTGCATCTCTCCAGACGAGTCAGACCAGTCAGTCAGAGACTTCCTAGACTGGTGCCAGACCTTGATCAGGCCACTACTAACCCTCTTTCAACTTCCTCTAGCAATGGACCTCTAGGTAGGTGGTGGCTTGGCATGTGCAGTACATGTACAAGTCACCTCAGTCGATTAAATTCCCATTTTCATGAGTCAGATTATGTTTCTTGCCTAAAACCTTTCAGTCGTCCTCAACATTGGTCACATGGTGTTTCAATGGAGCACGGGCAATACTACGAGGAAATGCATAATAAAAACTTAGTAATGGCTTCATATCATTCACTTTCAATGGATATTTCTCAGAACCGTGATGCAGTACAGAACGGACTGCAATGTAGTATAATCATTCTTTGCTGGATATTCAGGTATCTCGCATGTGCTTTATATGATAGATATTATAAATGTATTATGTCACCTAAATAGTTGAATATCATTTGTGGAGCGAATTCTACCTTAAAATAATCTAGGGGTTCATTGTGAATACATGGAGAAAGGTTTTAATGTGAATATTTAATCAAAACTTCAAATTTTGTTTTTCTTGAAATTTATAAGCTATAGAAGTGATCACCAGTAGTGAGCTGAATACTTTCCATTTTTCATTGCCTCTTAGTGTAGTCTTTAAGGCCTATTGTTCTATTTTTCTCAGTGTTTTCCTTGTTCAACAAAATGTATTACCAATTTATTCGAGTTACTGGAAACCAGTTGAATGATTCGTTATACGTACTGAGGTTTTTAGAAAAGTATTATAACAGTTAAAAAAAATACTTGCATTCTCCACCCTAGATAAGTCGGTCACATGAAGAAGAAATCAATGTTGCTTAAGTGCAAGTTGAAATATCCGCTTCGTGGTATATTTCAGACATAACTCTAATTCCAATTCCATGGAAAACTGTGTATCAGCAATTTACTTTTTCGTACTGAAAAAAAATCAGAGTAAAAACATATATGTATGACTTGTGCTGTTTTTCATACTAATGTTTAGCAAGCCTCTAATACAGGATGAAGGTTTCATTGATTAGGTTCTTAGATTACAATTTTGAAAGAAATATTTATTCTGATCTCATAATAAGAAAGTGAATGTGATTTATTTTTTGATATTTCACACGTTTATATATATATATATATATATATATATATATATATATATGCATATAATAACGTGTTTTACGATCTGTATATGTTTACCTAGTTTTCTGTTCGATATCATCATCAATCATGGAGAATTTGGCGGATTGATCAAAGTTGTATTGTTTTAGCAGAAGATATAAATAAGGCTAAAATTCTGGATGAAAAATATGATATAGAATATCAAAATGTAGTTGTTCAGTCAGATATTCAAGAACAAATAACGATGCCTAGATCAAATGAAGCAGACCTAGAACATGATCAGGTGAGTAGCCATGTATCGGTCACTTTTTGAACAATAAAATAGATATTTTCTATGTTGCTTAGTTTCGATTTCGTTTGTGCTATAGTATGAAGTGAATATGACGTACTTTTAACAAATGCTACCATTCTATCAGTGATATGTCTCATTTTGAAAATTAAAAGTTTAGTCTCTTCAAAATATCTTACTGAAAAAATCAATTTAAAGCTAAAGCTTGCGGAAAAGAAGTCAACTTAGTTTACAGTGAGAACTATGATGATTATTCTTTTTGAAGGTTTATGGGTATTTTATTGATTTCAGGTTGGTATTAATGATGGACTGACATTAGTTGAAGAACCTATGAAAACGTGAGAGTGCTGGAAAACGGTTTCACCTTGGCTAGAGACTCCTCAGCTGTACGCACCCATGATCTTGCTACGACCCAAGCCCAGAACCTATAGATTTTACGGCCAGCATTTTACTATTGAGCCAGTGGGTTGGAATCCAATGGTCCACATTTTCTTACTTCTACCAGTTCATGATATAGAGCGACATCCGTCCAGTACCGTCGTTGAGTAACTTTCTTTACATCCGGTCTGTTTTTCATGACTAGTCATGGCTTCTCAATAAAACTTCGGGAATCTCGTCTGGATGCAAGTCACTAATAAACAGTCGAGGACTACAGGTCTCGCTAAGACGCAAACTGACTGAAGTAGGAAAATGTGGACTTGGATTCTTCTGAGGAGTCCCGTGCTGGGATGAAGCAGATGTCTAGTACTCCTAGGTTTTCAGCAGTTCTCCAACTGACAAGTTGTGGTGAATGCTAACTAGAAATAAATAAACGAATCCTTGTAAACCCCCAAACTGAATTATTATATGAACATTTGCATTTAAATCTGGTTACCATTGGTTTTGGTTATAGTTAAATGGTTTCTGTATACCAAATGACAGACTGCAGTTGAAATGAGGTTATTTAGTTCCTAGGAGGGAATGTATATATATATATATATATATATATAAAGTTTCTGGGGTGCAGATATCATCTTACTTTTCGCTAGTAACTAAAAGAGTACTACGGAAGTAAAGGAGGATATGGTTTTCATCCTCAGTATAGACTCCTATATTATTACACATAGTTACATGAGAATTCTGATGAGAATAAAAATTCTAATATACTTGACAACCTCACTTATTATGCAAATGGCTCAGCTCAGAGGCCCTGAATGAAAAAACAATATAGTTATTTAAACCTAATAAGCGGAAATAAAGTATGTCAAAAAATAGGTTTGTTTTAGGATAGTAATATATGATAGATATCTCGTTAAGAAGTGCTGACAAAACATTCTGATGAAAGTACTTATATCCATGAGGTTCATTTCTATACTGCAACCATTTTGTAAATGAATAAGATTGTATGACTCCGAAACAGTAGGCTTGGAAGTCAGTTAATTATCTGCAATACTTATATTTATAGAATATAAAACTTGTTAAATTTTAAATTTATAGTAAAATTTGAGAAACCCTGATAACAATTTGAAATCTCTCGTAGGACTTCAGTGTTCAAACCTTTGGAAGGTTATTAAGTCAGTGCTAATTCTAGTATGAATTATGTTCATCTGAAAATTACTTCATTTTTACCATCAGTCCATTATCTTTTATGTGATTTTTACCTGAAATCTCTAAAATGAATGATCCTTTCGACTGTTAACTAGTGTCTTCAATTTTGTCCTAATTATCTATGATTTAACTTCATTTTAAGGCAGTATTAAGATAAGCTTAAGCCATCAACTAACTAGTTACATTCTAAACCAATATGAAGAGCATTTAGTTGTCTTACACAATACATTTAGTAATGTTGCTATCTTGTTCGGAGAACGGAAGTCAGCTATGTAGCAGATATTTCCTTACTGACTTAGTTGATTATATTTTACCAAACGATTCTTATATAAATATTTTGTGCAAATTACCACTACCGAATGAGACACTATTTCATCTTGTCGGTATTTTGATTGACTTCGCAACACTTAATTCATTCAAAATTCCACCGCAATAATCCAGTATAAGTATAATGGAGTGACCTAGAGATCTATAGTTATTAGGAGTTGAAACTCAACTAATCTAGTACAATTAACATCACAAAGTCAACCTAATGAATAAATAAATTTGCGATTTTGTTGGGTTTTCTTAGAGCCTCTGGGTACTTTGTGGCATGGAACGTGCAGAAGAGGGGGATTTAGTAGTTTAGTGGTAAAAGTCACAAAGTCAGCGTCAGAAGCTAGGACGGAAAAGGCGACGAAGAAAACGTTGGCTAACGACTCATAGTCAGAATATAACGTGCAGAAATTCCGTCAAGCTTATGCAGTTTCTGAAAAAGCTTAATCTCTAATTTCTAAGTGACATTAGAGCATTGATCTCAAAAATATGAATAACAGTGAAACAGTGATCACCTTAATGGTAATAGTATAAGTAATATTCACTTTATTCCAAACAATTATTGGTACTTTGGATGAAGGAAGAAAAACGAAATCTGCCGGATGAGATAATATCGTCATTTTATCTCACGACTACTCTTCAGCTGCATACAGTCTAAAAGTGTGACGGTTATTAAGACATAAGGTATTTCAAAACTAAAAAAATCAATAATTTTAAATTGCCTGATGAAATCGTTGATAACTCATGCAATATGTAAGAAAACTAACTGTAAAGAGAATGAATATCCTATCCAGTTTATGAAGTATGGAAAGGAGCAGGTCAAGATAAGTGAATACACAACTGTGGAAAAAAGGTTTTTATTTACTTTATATTCAAGAGAGATGCAGTCTCCAAGCTAATAGGCACAAGAATTGAAGGAGCACTGAGAAGGAGCTTGACAACAGCTAAACTTGTATCGCCGCACAATAACACTCGCTTGTAGAACGAGTCGAAATTGGATAATTACCCTGTTCATGTGTAATGAACATATGTAATGAGTAATTATCTGAGATCGTATTGTTGGAAAGTCGCTCTGAGTGGAATCAAGAATATGTATTAGGCTTTTATTCAGAACTCTCCAGTTCGATGTGCTTATCTTCACTGTGACGTTGTCCCTATAGAGACAAGAACCAAACACTAGCTTCTGCAAACTAGCTTGTTTTCTCCTATCATTAGTTGCAACGAACAAGGTCTATGGGGCCCTGTTAAGATAACTGGTTCGGTGTGGATGTCTGAATATTGCCAGTAATTTCCCTAGAGTTCAGATAGAGATTGGAACTGTACTAAAGCTGCATCTTAAATTTTATTAGTAGCCACTAACCAACATCACTATCCACTTGTATTTATTAATAGTTTATAGTCATCTAAACGGGAAACCATATAGCAAGAGTAAACGATCAATCCAGTCCAAAATAATCAAAATGTAAAACCACAATCAAAACACATCTTGTTGATTGCCTGAAGCCAAACCAAACAATATAATTAGGAAAATTATAGCAGTCAACGTATGAATATATATGAGAGTACTGTCTACGAATATTTCCTCGGTGTAAATATTATATTTACTTCGTCGCAGTGTATGACAAGTTAGGTAAGATAAACTTCTTTGGGGAAAAAGACATTTCATTTGAAGAAGCGAAATCATTTTTTTTGAAAGGCTTTTTTTCCATAGTATTACTGAGTGGCTATTCAAAATGAGGTAACCTGGAGTTGACCAGCAAACAGATTGCCATCTTTTGAAATATTAAGTTCAGAATAAACCTTCAGTTTGATATAGCTGACTTAATAGTTTGTGACATACAGAAGGAATGATAAATTTTTAATTTTATGGCATATATGCAAAGATTCACAAGGCTAAAAACACTCTAGGTTGAGCAGTATCAATTAATGTTGTCATTGGAGATATTTTAAACATTATCTTTAGTTGGCCTAAATGTTGTGTACAGTCAATTATGCGTGTGAATAACTGGATTTGTGATAATTATCATGATACCAAATCTAGTCGATTCATTACTAATTTGCTCATACGTGCTATTTCGCCTCATGAAAAGCACGACATGCTAGATAATTTTAAATTTTATGTTGCAAACAAAGTCCAGTATAATATTTTGTTTGATTTTTAAAAACTCGATTAAATCTACAACCGCAGAAAAACTAAGGAGTTTGTGTTAAATCTTTCTAATCAATCTTTTGGAAGCCTTGAACTCAGTTATCATGATTGTCAACATTCATGAAAAAGTGTGTACTCTCAAGAAGTCAAATTTCCTGAAAATGATTTTCTCTTTCATAGATTATAGTTCTAAAAGTTTAACAGCACTGAGAAAACGTTGGTTTGTGTTCTCAAATGATCAATAAAAATGTAGTTAGCTTATAAAAAACAACTGGCGCATACTGTAATTTGTCTCAAAGATATATTTAACAGAAAACTAGTGTTTAATATATAGTCTTTATGGCAAATCTTACTAAACCCTGGATTTAGTTTACAGTTCCAAGAGTTTCTGGATTTATTCAATTGATCCTGTTAGATGGCGATGGCTAGTCAAAAGACATCAAAAGTCTGTGACTCTAGGCTGCGGTGACTAGCACTAGGCAACAAAACACATCTAAGACCTTCTAGCTTCCATTAAATTTCAAAATGGAGCACCACTACCTTCTCAATAAGTAATTCTTCGGAAACCACCTATATTAGCAGTCGAATAAATTATTTATGTTCGCTGAGTGAAGGCAAAATAACTAATGAGCAGTGAATTGTTTTGATAGTTGGTCTTACTGCAATGTCTCCACTGAATAGTAATTACTTGAACCTTATGATCCGCTGATTCACTCGTGACGCTGACCTTACACGTGATTAGTTTCACATATATTTACCACGCCTCGTAAGGTCAGTTCATCAACTTGATGAGTCAGACGTTCGGACCCTTCTAACTTCGTACAATACGACAAATGTCTTTTGCATGTAGTGCATACCACAAGTGAATTTTCAGTCTACAACACATCATAATTTATAAAAATGAAACAACCAATTTACTGAAAAAGGATTAATTATTGCAAAATAATTAGTATCAAGAGAATTTTCATTATTTCAGAAATATAAGTCATGCAGAAAAAACAGTGGAAAGCTCCTGAGCTATAGGATAATGTTATTAGAGAAATCATAAGTGTGATACTTAACAGAGATTCATTTTCTCTACTTTTTGACAGATATAACACTTACAGGTTTCCCTCTGTATCGGGTATCAGTTTTTAACTTCCTTAAAAACACCTCACAAAGAACAAGTCGTACTTTAAGTGAAAAAAAAGACTTATTGACAGGAAATATCCGAGGCAATCATCTTTCAGGATTATACAGGTATCCTATGAGCTGGCAAAGTTTGTTATTATTCTTAGTCCATATGAATTTTCAATCATTTTACTTTACTGGGAATGAAAATTTGTTTATGAAAATTTATTTAAAGATAATTCAGCAAAAAAGATTTTCTTTTCGACAAATCATTTTTAAAAGCTGTACATCTTAATCATAATTACAACAACATATACGTATCCATCATTGGTTAATGGGTCAATACAAAGTCATCGAAAACTGTCAGTAAAGACAGTTCGTTCATTTCTGTATTTACTAACCGTAATCCCATAAGCAATTTTTGACGACCTTGATTTGACCTTCTACCCGTTATCACCTTGTGACTTTATTGATCGTTTGTGATGGTTTTACGCTGACCCGTTAGCCACTGATATATATATATATATATGCACCTTTTGAAAATGGTTCGTCAAAAAAATTTTCTTCTCTAAGTTGTCTTTTATTAAATTTCACTATCTAATAGGACTATTTAAGCTGTTGAAGAATATGTTTATATTGTGAAAACTACTAGCAGCTAACTGGTGTTACTTCAGAAGTTGCAATTACAAACGATAATAAATTTCATGCTGTTACTTGCATTATCCCGTCGTTGAGTGGACCAAATTGATAGGTCTCTATTGGCATATATGCTCAGTACAAGTGCCTTCATATTGCCTGTGTCTGATTTACGTATTAATGACGGATAGTGACTAACGGCGGAATCCAGAAAGCGCGTTTCGCCTGATTTGGGACTCGTAGAGTTGGATGTGCCTGCCTTCCAGTGAGCAATGTTATTTCCACTGGGACTCGAACCGGAGACCGATTACTTCAAACGCTAAATCGTTATCCACTAGGCCATTAGCCCATCGTGAACAAGAAAAAAACTTCTTTCCATGCAACTAACTTTTGTGTTTACTAGGCTGCTCATCAATTTTGCGAAATATAGCTGAAACTGCTTTATTATCCAGTTAAAATAAAGTTCCATTGCTAATCATAGTTTCTTCTGTGTGCAATTTAAATGACTCAGTCATAAAAACCAGTTGCATTTTATAAATTTAGTCTCATCAATGCAATTATGAGTGCCTATATTCAGAAAAACAGAAGAGAACTAAAACGGCTTGCATCATTAGTAAATTGACCATATGTGTGTTGCATTTTATATGTTAAAGAGTTCATAGGAGATTAGAGGGGTGTGGATATTGAGTATGTTGTTACTCATCCAGTCTATTGCAGCATCTAGGGTTGGAAATTAAATCTTGATGGAAGCGGATTCAAATAGCATAGGTACTGTTAACTTGGTTGAGAACTTAGAAGACCAACAGTCATAAGTTTACACAAATAATAATATCGAGGTCTTGGGACACTTTGATAGTTTCCTTTTGATAGTGAGCATTAAATATATAACATTGCCCTGTTACATCACTTCGGATAGGAATCACTTTGCATATTTTGTTTTAACTAGTCTGGTTAGAAGCAAAAACAAAGTATCCCCTAAATGGTTATCTTTAAACTGGTTCATTATATATATATATATACACTAGTCAATATAAATAGTGATTTGTAACTGAAGGTAATCATTCAACGAAAGTAATATGTTACACTAAGAATCGATTAAGTAAATGTTAAGGTAACGTTTTCAGAAGACAAAAGAGTAATTAACTTTACTAATATACTTTTATTTGTATATATAAATGAAGCAATAATTATTTCACAGTAAGTTTAACCAATATATTTACTAGTTAAACTGCATTTGAACTGTACAAGTATGCCAAGTCAAATAATGATAAGAATTAGACTGATTTTTGTAATGAGCTTAACCAAGTTTTTTATCATATATATTATGCACAATAGCTGGAAATACTATCTTGTATTATTTTGTAAAATCAGTGCTTGTTATAGTGCGCCTAATACTTACTAAGACCGAAGTTCAACAGCCACTGTGCACTTATTTGATAGGTTCAGTTTGTAGGTTTGTGGAATTTTGCTTATTGACTTCAGGTTTGTACTCATTATGGACTGACATCAGCTGGAGAAACACTAGAAACCTGGAAGAACTGGATGGCTGTTTCATCCTATTATGGGACTCCTGAGAAGTGCGTTCTCATGACCGCGCCAGGGATCGAACCCAGGGCCTTCAGGTTCCAAGGCTAGCATGTTATCATTGAGCCACTCTATTGAAATCCAATGGTCCTTATTTTGCTATTTGATAAGCACTTAAAAGCATGATAAACGATCAACATTAAGATTTTTTTCCGAAATTCATCTTTAATAAAATACATGAAATGTTGTTGCTTGTATTATCTCACCGTTTATTAGACCGATTTAATCGGTCTTTATTGACATATGGGCTCCAGCACGGATACCTCCATATTGCTGTGTTTGATTTATATATTTATGATAAATAGTGGTTAGTAGTGGAATCCAGAAGCCAAGTCTCGCCTTATCGGGGACTCATCAGCCGGATATGCCTGCCTCCCAGTGAGCGATGTTATTCCCAGTGGGACTGAAACCCGGAACCGATCCCTGTAAACGCCTGGGCATCATCCACCAGGCTACTGAATCACGATGCTCACTTCTTATGCAACGGATACGCTCCTAATGTTCCTGCTTGTCCTAGAGTCCTAGTGGGAACAACATCGGTCACTGGGAGGCAGGTACATCTGACTGATGAGTCTTAAATGGGACGAAATGAGCTTTTTAGATTCCACTGCTGACCAGTAACCATCAACAATAAATAGATATAATGTTTTTGGCATCTGTTCCCCAGAAACGGAGGCTGAAATTCGCAGCTTAGGTTATTTATATATTACCGTGTAATCTTCAAAAACTTAAAACTGATGTTTTGCAAATATGGTGAGTAATAGATACCACATATAAATAAATGAATGTTTAGTGATTTGGTTTTGGTTGACTGACTGAAAAGCTTCTGCTAGAAATTTGAAAATGATGCAGAGAACATACACTACATCCTTAGTATATTCTAACCGTTGTTTTGTTGTCCTAGATGTTTGTCATCTATTTAAACATATATTTTATTCCGCATTGAAATCAAATGACAGCTTGTACTCTTGCGACTAATCAGCAATCAAAGTAAATTCTGGAACTCTAACCACTGATTTACAACAAAGCTGATCTTCATAAAATGCTAACTAATCTAATTTCAAGTTTACTGTGGAGCAGCAGCGGGCTTTAGCTAATAGATTCCACACATAAACCACTTTCTGATTCAAAGCGGCTAATTGGATTCATGTCAGTTATGATAAGAATTATCTTCGAAATGTGCCAAAGTAATATTGTTACGTTTTCTGAACACGTGCTAGAATGCGGTATACTTTAGAAATATGTTTGTGAATTTCATGTCACTTCATAAAGTATATGTGAATACTGTGAAGTTTCTGGCATAACTTTTTATCGTCAGCATGAAGGATCTCATGATGACTGAGCTTTGTTTTGCTTTTTGACAAAATTTATGAAAAATGTTTATGAACTTTGCTGTTCTTTTCGATCATATTTTCTGTCTTTTCTCAATATGATTTACAGCAAAACTGGTCTTGATGAAGATTGTTTATCTTGATATTTTTCTAAGCAGATGAAACATCGTCATATATGAATGAAGCAGATCAAATATTAAGAATCTCATTTCATTACCTTATTACTTTAGAAGTATCAAAATTGCTTTGGTCGCTTGCTTACTTGTGACCATAGACAGTCATCATTTACCCTAAGGAAAGGTGTTTGTCAACGGTGCCAGGAATTTCACAGAAATTTGAAAAACATGGTTGAAATGAAAATTAGCCTTTATTTATTAAAACAAGTCTAATGTATTGATGGAAGTGTTTACTGATGTGTATATCATATTTAAGTTACTGTAGTCAGTAATTCAGTTCGCTGAATGATTGGTTGATAGAAAAATGTAAGATACACTTGTGTTATCATATTGTTTTGGAATTCACTGTCATTTCGTAATTAATGTGGTTTATTAGTGATCAGAACTTCATTTCCTCACCTTTATTTGATTAGTAGCAATTCACTGACCTTTTTCACTGATTTACATTGATGAGACATTTTTTAAAATTTTGATCAAAATGCAGTTATTCCGTATTATTTTTCTATACCTCCACAGGTAAACTGGTTGTTCACTACAGTGTCAGTAATTTCATGTTGTCCAGTCATAAGTGCTTAAGAAATTTTATCGATAATTTTTGTAATGTAATCACCCAGCTTGGAGACTTCATATCTTCAGTTGCCAAATAGTATTTCTAATCCTGTCATCGAGGAGATCAGTTACAGTTCAAATATCTCAGATGTAGACTCACTGATTGCAGCATCGGATGATAAAGGTTTGAATCTCTTAGAGGGCATCAGTTGCCTTGAGATTGTTCCTTCGCTATTAAATGCACTAAGTTTATCCGACTTTTTTGAGCTTGAAAATGTTTTTTAACTGGAAACACTGATTTATTTCAATACTCTAATTATTTCACACATGAGTTTGACACACTAAGCTAAGTAATTTAACTTGGATGGCGTGAAACTGAACATAGTAGAGATAATAATGTATGCTTAATAGCTAAGCAATACTACATGATAGTTTATTCTTTGAACATTATTTGTTGTGAGCCTACTATTCATTAAAACGTGTATTCTGCCTATTTTGTATTTGGAGTTTGACTTTTACATTTCTCTAACGGTTTTTAATTCTATTTGTGCTGACTTGACTAGATATATTGCTTGATCTGTCGAAAAATATTTCATCTTTATTCAGAGTGAAAATGTTTAGAAACCACTAATCTGTTATTTGTGTTTGAATAATGCATTTTGCATGACTGATATATGTTAAACAGTGAAATTTCATGCGATATGATGAAAGTGAACTGTTCGTTAACATAATAGCATGATAAATGGATGCCCCGATGAAAGCTAGCCAAACATATTCTGAATTATACAAAACCGATGGTATCTTCAAACACTTAGTATGAATGGGGAATAATTCATGACATTTTCCATTAGAACTTTTTTGTTTGTTCGTTGGTTGAGGGCATTAAGCAATAAGGCCTGCTTTTTAGGATTTGTCAGCAAAGAGTGCTTGCATTCTCAAAGTAACTGAGTCCCCTTTCAGATTCAAACCGTATCAATCAATGTTACAGTTATAGACGTCACCACTGAGATATTTCATAGATTTTTGTCAGGATTAGACAGCATGAAACTAATTCTTCTGTAGTGGTCAATCAGCGTACTTTTATTATTTTGATATATCTGGAAAAGAATAGGTAAAAGGTGAACTGAATATAATCTGTGACTTTTTAAGCTACTTAATTTCAACATTTACGGAAAAAATGGTGGGTGAATTTGTTGAAAGGTTTTTCTTTGTTCATGCAACACTTCACCTTTGAATTCTAGTAGAAAGTAATTACAGAGATACTTTTGTCAGTTTAAATATCAGTAGGTTGTTAAAAAGCAAATTTATTCTTATGTTATTTTCTTTTTTGAAATTGTTTACCCTTTCTTGTCTAATGTTTCTGACAAATGATTTGTAAAGCATTCAGCTTATTAAAGAAAATCACACTGCAGTTTTTTGTGGAAATTCCTGTTAAAGATAGAAATAAATCTATAGTGAAATATTCATGAGAAGTGTAGTTGGCTGAGATGAGAAATATACTAATCGAAGATAATCTGACCTATTGGATAAGTATCTCCTTTAAATTTGTAGGGATGAAGGAGGCATAGATTTTCGTTGAAATTTGAAAAGTAAGATTTAATCATAGGATAGAACATTGAGCATTAGTAAGCAGATCAGTATGAACTATAGCAATATTATTTTGTATCTATTTGTACGTTACAGGTGATAGTCCATTATTATTGTTAACAATATGAATTCAGAATGAATAGCTTAAATTAGACTTCATTATTGAAATGTCATATGCCAAGCATAAAGTCTAACATATTGATAATTTTATTAGTGTACACATTTACATATATTTCAAATATTTCAGTCTTACTTAAACAGTCAGTACATACATAAATCGGCTTGAATTTAGTATAAAAAAAAAGAAAGGCACTTAAAATCATGCACTCACAAAATCAAAAAAGATCTTGAATATTATTAGTATCAGAAAATAAAAATAATAATGAAGATATACTCATAACACGATGAGCACATCAAGTTTTATCAAACGTGAATTAAACAGTATTAATTAATGTGAAACATATTTCTTTTGGTATTTACAAGTAACAACAACATGTGTTTTATGAATTGACCGGTTGATTGTACGATAAATCGATAAACGATAAAAATATAGTTTTTCTCAAAAAAAATGTTTTCTAAAAGTTAATATAGCATACATATGAAGACACAATCGACTTTCCTTTAAGCAGCTTTGTTTAAACGATTTACGCAGAAAACTAATTTCAAAGTTGATTTAGTTTACACTATAAGATAAGAATGAAATTCTATTTCGAATATTTACTAAACTTTAATGAGTAAACTGCTTACTATTCATTGTTACTTATCATATTTATTAGGTAACAACACAGACTATGGTATATACTGAAATGGTTATAGTTTAGGCAAAGATGAAGTGTTGAAAACTGATATCAATTGTAGTTTGTTATAAAGACATCATTTATGACATGTGGCCAATGTATACAAAAATGATTCACTACTTTATACAACGATTAAATAGATCTTATTTCAGAATTGTCTTCATCTCATCATCTGAATTTAAAAACACTTAGGCACTATTATAAAGTCCATCAGGATCTTATATCACTAAATATTTCGAGTTTTATGTAAAGTAAAAAGTTAACATTTGAAAGTGAAGTTTTATTTTATTTTTAGAAATAAAAAATTAGTTTTTTGCTTATTAGAACGTTAATACATCTTCCTTCTTATTAAATTTTCATAGATAAAAGTAGATATCACCAAGCTGTCAAGTAATGCAATACTTCAACACTCTGGTAATGCAGAAAATTATTGTTTGCCGCAGTATAGCCTTCAGTTAGAAGGTTTTGATCATGTAAATGTGTGTGTAGAGGATGATGTGACTAAGACAAACAACAAAATTGAAATAATATCAACAGAAGAAGAATTAAACATTGAATATGAAGGTGATCAACTAGTTATTAGTGAAATAGAACCAACACAACTTTTAAATTCCTCATCTGTATCGATTGTATCACCTGTAATTTTACAAAGTAGTATGATAAATAAGGCAATAAGTTGAGATTATTTTATGTTTTTCTATAAACAGTAAAATCATTTGACAACACCATCAATGCTTAAAGATTTTTTGAAATCAAAAAGTAAAACATTTTATGGTTAAATACATATCCAAGATGAAAATAATTTTAAACCCATTTAATGTAATTAAATTATTATATATCTTATATTTTGTTGAAAGCTTTCTCTGTGAATATTTCATAATTGACATACTTTACTACATTTATAAGTGAAAAATTGTTCAATGCATTATCTGCTGTAACTGAACTGCTCTATTTTACATAACGCTTAATACTATGAGATTGTGTGAATAATAATAATAATGAAGGTGACAGTTGAAAGAGGTTAACAAGAGTGCTGAGAATTTTCTGCACTATTTTCATGAATATATAAACAAAGATTGAAGAACTCACGGGGTTATTCAAATCGTTCTGGAATGTGATGTAATTCCAAAAAAAGCGTTTCTAAAATTTTGTGTTCCTTACTTTTTAAAAAGATAAAGTACTAATGTACTGGGTGATGATTGAAGGTGAGATGAAAATCTGAACCGCGGCCGGATTCGAACTAACGACCACCGGGTGGATGGTCCAGATTTTCATCTCATCTTTAATCATCACCCAGTACAAATACTAGTCCGTCAAACTGCGGCTCAGATAGTAAAATCGTAAAGTACTGATGTAAAGGTGATATATTACTGATCGAAACGCTTCATTTTCCTTCGAAATGTAGCTTCCACTTAAATGTGTCATATATTTTTCTAGCTGAGTAGATTTAGTCAGAATAGTAGTGGTGCTGAATAAGCCTACGAATTAAAAATTAGCAATTAGAATAATGTAAAATCAATTAAAGTGAAAAAGCGATCCCTAAGAAAGCAACATTCATTGATTTGATTTCCTATACGGTCAACCTAATTTTTATCAGAAAAGAAATATTCTAAGTCATGAAATACATTTTCATAAATAATTTTTGCTTTTGCGTAAGTGTTATAAGAATTAAAAACGATTGACCAATATTTGAATAGTGTATCGAACATTTTTCAAAGAATAATAATATCCTGTTACTTTTAAATGTTGACTTGATACATTACTCAGAAGAAATAAAAGTATTCCTAAGCAAAGTATTCTAAGAATCATTTAACGTTTACGCTCTTAATTATTGGAGATCTGGTCAGCAATGAGGTTTCGTAGCCCTGTCATTACGGCATCGAACCGGTACTCTAGAGTCTGCTTATTCGAATCATACCATGACCCAGATTTTCATTTCACCTGAAAACATGACTATTTTTATTTGATATTCTGTTTGCTTGAGTGTGGTAAATGAGTTTGGGGAAAACCATGGTGAGATAGAACTTTAAATATTAGAGTTTACTGCTTAATAGTTTAAGACTTTTGCTTTAAAGCTATCTGTGATAGATGACTGGCAATTAATCCTCAAATATTTGATCAATACAATCTCACTTCTTTCCATCATTGCTTCCAAGCACATAACAATCGTTCCCAGTTTTCTGCTTTACTTCTAACTTCAGCATAGCGTTGCATAATGAAGGCGCCAAATAGCCATGGTTGTAGATTAACTTACAATATCTGAAATCGTTAGGTCTTCTGACGATGTCTCAACCACTGAAGGTCACAAAACAATATTGATTGAGAAAATTAACCCCAGATAAAGGGATTGTTAGTAAAATGTATTCGGGGAATAAAGACTAAGCAATGATAATTATGTGGTCAAAAGTCACACTTTTCTTGAGATTAAGATGGCACAAATTCAAGACATCCGTTTAAAGCCATTTGAGTGGACAAAAAATATTCTTTTCGATAACTTTTTCTTCACGTTCTATAGTTATTTGCGAATATTGAGGAATTATACGTCAGTATATCTAAAGATTGAAAATATACAAAAATCTCACTTATAACAGTACAAACGTTTTGAAAAGTAAAAACACGCGTCATTTCTTTGAGTCCTTTAATAAATCACACTTTACTTGTTAATGGTGCGCCTGAATTAAATCAAGGACTATGATAAAGAAAACTTCATAGGCTACATATATGATCTATACCATTTATTGAAAGACCTACTTCACTTGACTGCTTTTCCCTTTGACATTTAAAGCAGAAATTTGGACAAACAGATGTAAAACTTCGAGGACAAGATGTCAAAGATTTACTTGTCTATTGACTTACATGATAAGCTTCATAATTACTGCGATATTTTTTCTGTGCGAACTACTTCAATTATGTATGATGCACACAGACTGTTACGAGTTTTCTGATAGGTGTAGTGATGAGGACAGGTATTTTATCTCATTCGTTAGAAATCCAATTTTCGAAACATAAGACACAGATATCTTGCATATGTGCCATCTTAATCTCAAGAAAAGTGTGACTTTTGACCACATAATTATCATTGCTTAGTCTTTATTCCCCGAATACATTTTACTAACAATCCCTTTATCTGGGGTTAATTTTCTCAATCAATATTGTTTTGTGACCTTCAGTGGTTGAGACATCGTCAGAAGACCTAACGATTTCAGATATTGTAAGTTAATCTACAACCATGGCTATTTGGCGCCTTCATTATGCAACGCTATGCTGAAGTTAGAAGTAAAGCAGAAAACTGGGAACGATTGTTATGTGCTTGGAAGCAATGATGGAAAGAAGTGAGATTGTATTGATCAAATATTTGAGGATTAATTGCCAGTCATCTATCACAGATAGCTTTACAATCATTAAACCGGATAGTAGGTAACTGGTTTTGCGAATGAAAACGTCAAAAATACCAAAACAAACGGAAATAATATTTGAAACTAGCTGTGCAGTAAACCGAAGATTATTGCAATATTTTCAGATATTCATTTATTTTACCGGAAATTGTTCGATAGTACAAGACACATCACTGCAGAGTTAACATTTTTTTTATGGACTAAGAAGAAAGCTGAGTTTTTTGATCAATGTTTCTAAATGATTAAGAGGATGAATGGAAAACGTGGAAGTTTGGTGTTCTCCAAACTTTGATATTTGCTCGTGGATATTTCATCAACTTGGAAACATTTTCTTCACTTTTACAATGAGGAAGCGAAGTATGTACAGATATTACACGAATGTTTAAGAAATGTTTTTTTGACACTGAGTGCTGTCCACCTGTTAGTTGGAGAAAACATTTTAACCAAACATTGATTTTTTGAACTTTATATGTCATATCTGCAAGTTTGCTGAACTAATTCCCATTAGAATACTACCATTATAAAAATTCTCTTTCAGCATTTAAAACTACTTGGTTAATTTCCAGTTTCTCCCAGTTAGATTTCTGATCTTTGTTATCTGCGCGCACTACAACCAAAGAGGCGGTGTCAGGTCGCTTTACTGCTGGTTGGTGTTCATGAGTTTTTTCAGCCATCCGACAACTGGAATGGACAATGAGCTTTTCTGAACATTATTTACAACTAATTTGGTAGATTATACTTTCCTGTCTTTCCCTGACAATGAATTCTTAAAACGGGCATAACATGCTCTGTAGTGATTTCGTTGGTTGATGTGTTACTTTAGTTCTTATTGGAAGTGATCGATTGAGAGTATTAGAGACATTTTCAATGTACAGTAGATTAACGTACCTATTAATTTGGAATAATTTGATTATCTTCTTTTCTGCTGATAAATAATTTCCGATAAAGTTGTGTAGAAAATCATTGACTTTGAAGAGACATATGGGTACAGTCAAAATCTAAAATCTGATCTAGGAAATGCAACCATCAATCAACTATATGCAAACTATCCAAACAAACGAATAAAGAAGCACGACTTGACAGTTACAATTAGCACAATTCTTCCGCAACGGAGATTGTTTGGTAGCGTCACTGAATGAAATGTAGCCTCAAGAAGATCTCTTTCCTTACTTACAAGTTGAGAACAATCAAGGTCAAAAAATATTACTTAAATATGTGTTATGGTTTGCAAACTGCTATATGCTATGGCCGCTAATAATGCACAGGTATCGACCGTCAGCCACCAACATTCAACAAATTCCTAGTTGGTTCCCGACCCGACTAATTAATGGAAAAGACACAATGGACGTGTAGAAACTTGTATTGGAGTCGAAGGACCGAAAGGCCAAAAGGCCAAACAAAGGAAATACAGCTAATATATGGATAGTTCACTGTTTAGAATGATAATATTGATTGGCTGATCCAGCGTATCTGTCTAACATATGATATATTTTGATTGGTTCCTCTCCAGACTAGGGGTTCCTCTCTCTCCCCACATCAAGATCAATAACAATGGTTTATGCAAATTTATGGCCTCACAACAATATTCGTGTAACATCTGCATTTACTTCACTTCCTCATGATGTTAGTGCAGAAACCATCAGTAAACGTGGTGATAAAACGTCCGCTGCAAATTGTCAAAGACAAAACGCTAAACCAGTATAATTAGCTTTCCCTTGATGGCAGTATTGTAACATTAAAACTGAAACCAAAAATACATCACAGTTTGATTATCTATACCTCCATGGACTTTCAAAACTAAGAGTGCTGTAAATGGCACACGACTGCCTAAAGTTTACTTAAAGTATAGTAAAGAGCTATTTCCAGAAGTCCGGTGAAAATTGTTATTCACAGGCTAATCCTCATAACCAGCATTTAATCACTGAATAATCTGTTGTGAATAACTTTGAATTCGAACTTGATCTGGTTTGAGGATATGTCTCATCTCTATGCTACACAGTATCAACCTTTCAGCTTATTCAACTACCAAGCAAATAAATATACCTTAAGCACTTGACTTTAGTCTCTTGCTCAAAAAGTCAAATAATCCATCAAAGCCATTTTCGCTGACGTATTCAAGTTACTCCGAGTCTTTAAAAACTTTTCATTGCAGAAACTTCACCGAGCGCTCATTAAGTAATAGGCAGATATGTCACCAGTCACAAATCAGAGAACGCATAAAAAAGAACAATAAATCCTGTAAAAAACGCCAAAAGCGTTAATTTTCTCAAAAACAGTTTTAGTGAAATTCGGTGCATATCAGTTTAGAATATTTAGAAAATTGTCACAGATGTCTAGAAACGTTCTAAATTCCTCCAAGATGATCTGTTTATTTTCTTGGAATCATCCCAGAATCTTATTCGAAACCAAATTTTTGAAAAAACTCATTTTTTTAGATTGATGCACATCGTCTGGGTATAAGGATAAAAACTGGTTGTAGAGTTGTAATATAACTGAAATTGACTATGAGTTTGTTGTCTGAACCTGTGGCTGTGGATACACTGATAACTTCTGATCTTGATGGCCTTCACATTTTCGTTAATTCGAGTTATAAATACCTTAGAAACACCCGTTTGTTTTACTGCGTTATTGTTAAGAGCTCAGTGGAACCTACCTTCTGTCTTACCAGTGATTCAGTAATGAAGGTTAGATAGTATCTTTTACATAACCTTCACCTAACTACATTTAGTTTTCATGTAAG